TAAAAACACATTGCAAAGTTCCTGAAATCTTACAAGCACACAGCACATACCCCTTTTGAAACTGGGAGATCTTGCTTCATTTCTGAAGGGACAAGTAAGAGTGAACTGAAGAGTAGTTCTTATCTGTGACTGCAGGAAGCACCTCTACATCCCTAGAAGATCTTACACGATAGGAAACAGGTTGGCTGATCAGTAAAACAACTACACAAAATTCACATTCATTCTCTTCTCAGGAAGGTGTTTCAGATCTTGAACCTGTTTTGTTCAATCTCACATAATACAGGTCCTGCTACAGTAATAAGAATACTTTTAAAAAATAAATACAACATAGAAAGGCAGCAACAGTGTCACAGAAATAGGCAGAACACAGAGCCATGGGAAAGCATGTACTACACACAGGTGGCCCTGGTGGTGGAATAATTCAGGCCTAAAAGAAAAATCTCATTACAGTCCATGGGAGAGTTACCCTGGTCACTGTAATGGATGATGGATTAGGTCCTTTGTGGGTAAAGAGGAAAAAACTTTAGTCAGCATAGGAAGAGCATTTAAGTAAAATGCATCCGTTCTTGTTAGTTTAAGGAAGAAAGCTAAAGATTAAACATCACTATGAGGGAATGAGAAGTCCAGCTGGATTTGGAACGGATATGGTCATTGACCAGCGTTAGAGACAAGTCCTGGGGAAGCACTTGGCATGTCCGTAGCAATGTCCAAATCCTCTCTGCTGCTCACTCAGGTCCCAGCAAACAATTTCACAATGAGAAATGCCTCTCTCTAATTGCAATTTACTGCTATTTTTTAAAGCCTTTTACTACTGCTCAGTGTGGGGGCAAATATATTTTAGAAGGCTGGTCACAAGGGGTGACTTCATACATGACCATGACAGTGGGACTTAGGGGAAATACCACAACAGCAATGCTGCTGTGTTACCTAATCCTTTAAATATGGAGGCCAAAGGGCATCAGAATGCCCCTGTCCTGTTTTTATCTCGTATAGCCCAATTCAGTGTTGTGAGGTTTCAACAGTATGCAAAAGGCTCCTGATTTTTCCACTGCAGCTGGGAGGGCTGGCCAGGGCAAGCAGTGGTGCATGGCAGGGACACAGGAAGGCTGCCCATATGAGCCTCCCTTTTGAATGATCCCTCAAATTTGCGTTTTGCTGCTCTGTTCACTGGGGCTGCCTCTCCTAGGCTGGCTGCTGGAGGTATTTCTGTGGGTGAGGGGCTTTTGTCAGCACAATTGGCAGAGCACCATAGCAGCAAACATGTGCCTCCCACATATTTTCCTGTCAAGCAACAGAATTAGCATTTTTTCCAAAGTTAATCAAACATACACCCACACAACTGCCTACGGGCCCTTGCTGACTGCTCCCCTAGCTTTCCACAGCAGCCAGGAGCAAAGGCCGGTTTCTGTGCAGTGTTGGTGTAGTTTTTCTTCCTTTCCCCACATCTGGCTGAACCACTTGCACCCTCCTTACAAGAAACATGCAACTTCTATCTTATCCTCTTGGACAGTAGAGAGCAATTCCCCTCGGCAAAAACATCCAGTATGCCCAAAATTTGAAATTCTGGGTAGCTAAAAGTAATCTAAATAGTCTGAGAAATAAGCTGCATTTATTTAGACATCCTACGGGGAGTTAGGTACTGAACAGAGAGGCATCCACATCTGAAAGTGGGCTTGAGGGCATGTGAAGACCCCTCTCACATCCAACACGAGCGACAAACCCCACTCCACTGCCAGAGGGTGCTTAGTTTATGGCAGAGATAGAAGCAGACGGAGAGGATCCCAGTGGCAGCTTTAACAGAGGCAAGCTACACAGAAACAGGTCCCATCCCTGCTGCGGCTGGGCAAGCCCATAGCTGCCGGGATGCGGTAATAAATAATTGCAGTAAAATAACTGTCATAAACTGTGGCAAAACACACTGCACTGCACCCACCCCTTCCGCCCTAGCGGAGCTGGGTGCCGATGGGACTTGGGTGAAGATGGAAGCATCGCAGCAGAGGGAGAGGCTGGGCTGGTGGAGACCCGGGGGCTGAATCACCCTCAATAATGCCAGCTCCACAAAGAACTCCTGGACCACCGCGTGGGAAAGCACCTGCACTCACCCTGCTGCTGACTCCTGCCTAAATCTTCTCCTGCCTGCTGAGTGGGGCCGAGGACACCCAGAGAAGGTACTGCAGGTCAGGAAAGACTTTTCCTACTCCTGTGGATTATGCATTGGCTCTGTGACTCCTTTCTTATCAAATGAAGGTCAGGTTGCAACGGATACATTCTCATAAGAAATTTCCCAATGTTTACCTCCTCTGGCAGAGAGAAAATTTCGGTGCAATAAAGTTCTTTCTTCTGGAAAAGGCCAAGTTTTGCGGTCCTCACTCAGAAAATCCTGCTGGGTTTACTGAGACCGTTTCACTCCATATACAGCATTAAGAAGAATTTGAAGATCATTAAGAAAAGAAAATTAATTACTTGCAAACTTTTGTGTGATCTAAGTTAGGAACAGTCCTATCTCATTTCCACTCAAATGCCTTGCAATTTGCTATTTGCTGTGAGATACAGACCAGGAGTTTTGTTCATATAGTCCATGTTACTCTTTATATAGAAGGATTGATCTGCATTTGTGAGTTGATATTTCTTACGTTGTCATTTGTACTTGGCACACAGAGGAACATTTCCCAGTTGCTAACCAAGCAATTAAACCTATTTGCCTATAAGCATGTGCCTAAACTCTTCCCTGATGAAATGCTGGCACGTGGTTAAATCCTACCATCATGGCTGGGACATTCTTCCTTTTTGGTAAGCTGCTTTAGTAAATAGGGGCAGAGCCCAGTGCTCATCTATTTGCTTTGGATTTAGATTTAGCATTAATCCCAGCTTCCTCCTTCCTTTTGTAACACAGACAAAACCCTCCTCCATACCATGGGAAAGGCAGTCCTTTCTGTCCTACACACTCTCAAAACCACAGGCAACTCACCTGCACAGAAACAACCCTGCCAATGTCCTCTTTGAAGGACACCACAGCACAGCAGGGCCAAGCCCTTAGTTCCCATCATGCAATGGATCCTGTGTAATTAAGACATTGGCTGCTAATGAAAGGGAGAAGAACATCATTTAGGGACTGGAAACACTGATCAGTGTGCAGGGAACAGCTAGTTCTTGTGCTTTACCTGTTAGACTATTTTGGATACTGTAATTAGAGTTTGTGTTAAATATAGCTCTTTAGGCAGCTGTACTTCCCATGAGCATCCATTCATTTCTTCCCTACACCTGAGATAAGCTGTGTACTACCACCTGCAAGGTTGATTATGGATCAGGCATGAAGTTGCATGCATTGTCACCATAAGATCATGTAACTGCAAAGGATACTGCCCTAGGCATCCATAAAGATCTCTTTTTCTGCAAGCTCACACTGCTGTTTCTACATAGTAGATAAGGGGTGAGGCATAAAGATGCTGTGTTTGTGTGCTATGACTGGTGCACCAAACTATGTCTTCTCAAGCCCATTTGTGGTACTTTTCCTGCCTTGCAGTTTGGAAAAAATAGAAGTAAATGTGAGCAGGGACCAGAAACCTCTTAGCCCACACAGCTGATGATTGCCTAGTGCTAGCTCCCCTCCCTCTGAGTAGCTGTTGCTCGCTTTTGATAGGGAACACAACAGCATTCGAAGTGCTGGGAAAGGATCTGAGGACTCACAGCATCTGTAGGATGCAAGTACTACCTGATCCCTGATGGAGGGCTCCTCATCACCCCAGGTTTACCTCTGGGGAGACACATCAGCATCTGAAGGATGCAAGTACTACCTGATCCCTGATGGAGGGCTCCTCATCACCCCAGGTTTACCTCTGGGGAGACACATCAGCATCTGAACTGCTGTACTCACTTGGGGCTAGGCACTTTTGGGGACACATCCCATGGTCCTTAGTGCTTCAGTGAGCTGAGCTACATTATGAACTTACTTCTAGGCACTGTGTCTTTTCAAGCACTGTGGGGGAAAAGGGAATATCAGAGGGTATGTGCCCTTCCGTGAAACCAGCTTATGTATGCACTACAGAGATGGTGGGTTAATGCCTAAGGAATTGTGCTACTTATGTTCATACAAGCAGCCACCTTGATTAAACGCACAGTCACATTCAGGGGAAGGACCTGTATCTGGACCCTGTATGCGGACAGGGTTTGGATGACTCAGGTTAACACTGCAGTAAAGATAAGTAATAAATACACTTCATTAATAAGATCTCTTTCAACACCTAGCTCAGGTCAGAACACAGTCCATGAGCTTTCAATCTGACCTTTGGTGAGAAATGTAGTAACTTACATTCTTCAGCTTTTGCTGTGGTGATTAATATGAATTAACACACCTAGGTGACAAAATCTGCTTGGTCTGAATCACTCAAAACTAGGATGCAAGAAAGCAAAACAGTTCAACATAAGTGATCTTTGCTCCTGACTGCAGCGAGCCTTATTTTCCAATGTACTGAAAGCCTCCACAGCTCCTACAGAAGTCGAGGTGGGCTGTGGAGGCTTCAAAACTATGTCCCACCTGCAGTGCCCAGAACTGAGGTTCCACCTGCCCAGCCATCGCTATAGCATTATTGCTCCTTCCCAGATTCCTCATAAGAAGCATGCTGAATTCCCAGCTTGTCTTTTTCTTCTCTGTGAGCAATTATTTAACATTATACTGCTGTTTCTACAGGCATTTAAATCCCTGCAGGGAAACAGAGCCTCATGAGATCCTATATGGAAGCACTATGACGACGTGTAGTGGCATCATTTCTAAACAATGTTGATTGACAAAACAACAACATACTTGGATTCTTCCCTATATATAGGAAGTTTTCAAAGTGGTGCATAGGATCAACTGTGTCTTTTTTCAGTTAAAACTGCAGTAGTATGACTAACTTTCCTGTACTCCTTGGAGACAATCAACCCATGAATTCAGCCATTGCCAGACACCAGGCTTCAGCAAGGACCCAGCCATTTGGAGAACTTCTACCAGTAAAAAGGTGAGGGCTAGAAGACAAGCCAGCTTCGCTGTCGTGTATGAAGCAGAAAGCAATGCAGCAATGTAAAAAGGAGTGGACAAACTTGCCCTACCAAAAGCAGTTGCACAGTGAATCTTTGCATGAAGGTTGGCTAAGAAGACAAGCACAGTCAACAGTGAACAAGATCTGTAAACAAAACATTCCCTAGTGGTATTTAATGCAGAGTGCTGGGCACAGTTCATCTGCCTGTACTGATTCATGCTTGCCATGTAGCGTAAAGAGTGAAGAAGCAGTACACAACAAATTCGGAGTACATGTGTTAACTTCCACCTGGGTCGTTTAGTGATGTGCACCTTGAGCCATTCCCTCCTCCTCCTTCTCTCTGCTGCTCAGCAAGTGTAACCGTTCGTCAGGGCAGCAACACTCGGCATGAAGTTCAAAGTCCTTCCTGTTAAATGGGAAGAGTAAGATTGATGTGGGCTGAACTGCCCAGGAGACAGATTGTACCTGGGTATCAAGGGCCACAAAACTGTGTCAATCTTCCACTCCCTCTCCACTCCCTGCTAAAAATAGTCTCTTCTTCTGGTTTCGTCACTAATGAAGGATGGATTGTATTGTCCAGGGTAGATGCATGAATGTCGAGATCCAGGCAAACCAGTGTAGGGAGGGTAAAGTCCGTTTCTTTCCAGTTCAGGATTTCTCAGTCCAGTTGGCTGTATTAGCAAAAAAATTAAATAAAAAGGATCTTACTCTCACACTCAAATCCTCCTTCAGGCACAGCCTTACCACCTTTCCCAGCAGTTATTTCAGTAGCTAGAAGGAACAACGTGATCACTAATGATCTCTATAACCTAGAATGATTTTTACTGTGGGAGTTATGCATTGCCTGAAGGGATGATTCTGATGCAATTGTTTCGACATCTTGCCAATTAGCAGACTTGAAGTTTACCTGACTCCACCAAGTGCAGACTAAGTGCACAGTTAATTTTTAATCCAAGAGAATTGTGCTGATGAGCTCAGGTATTGAAACAACCCTCGTGAAAAGGATATTGTCCCAGAGCCATCTTTTAATGAAATGCTTCTAGAAAATCAAAGTTAGTCTCCTGCTTTGAGTATTACCTGGGAGCACTTCTCTCCCCATTAACAGGCACATGAATTATAGGTCAAATACAAAGTGGTCCAACTTTCCTTTCTCTTCCCTTCTTTTACTTAAGCAAATCTCCTGGGGACACTTGGTTGAGGAGCTTTTATGTCTAAGACCAAGACTGTACAATCCTTTCACCCAGTAAACAATATCAAGCCACCTGGTTTGATCTGTTACAGAGCAGATCCATGCAAAGCCCTCATCACCTACTGCTTGCTAAAAAGCTCCCCTTTCTAGTTGCCAGCGTAATAGAAGTCTTAAAAAATGTTTAGGAAATGCATTTTCATTTCCAAATCTCTCATTCTTACTGGAAGCAGGAAGGAGGATTATCTCCCCTCATGCTGTGCAACCCAGTAACTTGCTTACTGGAAAACTTAAAATACAAGCCAGAAAAAAAAGTATTGCTCGCTGCTCTCTGCTCTGGGAAGCAGGAGTCCAGAATGTGTGATTTGGGTGAAATCCTGCAACCTTCACTCACATGAGTGACGGGCACACACCTTAGGTACATCCAGTATGTTGCTGTAGATTAGTGACAGATGATACACCAGCATCACAGCTCTGGATACAGACATTAGCAGACGGTACTAACCATGACAGCAGGTCTTGTGCTTGCGTCTCTCTGTGCCCTACACAGCCTATTACTCCTCCACCGCTTCTTCCCTGCCACTTGTTCCCTCAGAGCTGAAGGAATGCTCCTTATGCACCCTTCCTGCTGCAGGAAGGGGCCCGTACCCTGGAGAGGGGAGGAGTGGAAGAAAAGAGGAGTCCTCAATCACCAGCGTCTTCCCATCTTGGGGTGAAGTCCCGCAGGCAGAGGTCTCAGCCTTCCATCATCATCAGTGGTGGTAGAAGGGAGAAAACTACCCACAGGGTTCCCTAGCAGTCCGTCCAAAAACCTTTAACTATCCTTCTTACTCTAGGATTGGGCTTTTGGGGCATCTACCAAAATGTTCCTAGACATTTCCCTAGCACTCTTCCTAATGACATCTCTTTGTGATATTCACCACGTGTAATAGCTAGAGCTCATAGGACTCTCAGTGCCTTGCTGTCTATGGAAGTAATTTGCTTTGCTCTTTTCTTTGGCAGGCAAGGGATCTGTACTTCCAAAAACAAAGGAATGTGCCTTTCCTATATGAGGTACAAGGGGTAATAGTTAAGCTACAGATAGATACCGAATAATACACATCTGTCATCTGCAACAGGTTCTTGGTGCTTCCATTCTCCTGCATCTCGATGGTCTCTCTGCCCCACTCCTGTGCCCGGGGGTTCTTTGGATATTCAGCATATGGTGACATCTGGAAATCCCCACTCTTGAAAATGAGTTTACTTATGTCATTTTTATTCTTCCTGTTTATAAAAGAATGAAGGTAAGTGAAAACATACAACTCATCGTGCTATCTTGTATGCAATTCTGATATGATCTCAGGATATTTATTTCCTGTTATGAACCTTGACTGGGAACAAAGATCACCTCAGCAGGGCTATAGTCCAATCTTCTGCTCCAAGGCAAAATCAGGTATGAGGTCAGATCATGCTACTCAGGGCCTAATCTGGTGGGATTTGAAATCTCCAAGGATGGAGATGGCATAACCTCTCTGAGCAACCTGTTCCACTGCCTCACTATCCTCTTGGTGAAAGAATTTTTCCCTACATGCAGTTTGAACCTCTCCGTTACAACTTACGCCTGTTGTCTCTTAGTGTGTGTTCACCCAAGTCAATGAAAAAGTCACAGATATCTAGGAAGAAAGGAAAACATATGGGAGCCCCCATGCTATTCAAGTCTCCAAGTGCTTAACTACAGCACTTCTAGGCACGATGTTAATCCCTAAGAAGGAAGACTTGCAAGGGGCTGGTCAGAATGACACCAAATGCCCCTACATGACTACCATGTTGTACGAGTGGACTTTGGTGACACTTCCAGTTCAGAGTACCCTCCAGGAAGTCACATAACCTGCCAAAGGCCAGGACTCATGAGAAGATCAGTCCATCCCTGCAAAGATCTGCACTCTGGGGCCTGGAGGTGTACTGGCCATCATACCTCCTGGCTGGGGCTTGCTGGCGTCCCCCTGGCTCAAAACACGCGGGAACGAGCACACGCTGCTGTGCCAACCAGACCACTGCCACATCTGTGTTACTGATAAATCCAGCTGCTGACTTTAATTGGAGAGCTTTGAAATTCTCAATTTGGGGGCTGGAATGGGGAGGACAGAGTGCTACTGCAAGGCAGCCCTTTTCATGTTATATAAATCATGAAGTAGAGCTTCCTTGGCAAGAACATCTTGCCTCTAGTCCGAAGCTACCTGCTGGTATGGGAACTACATGCGTACATGTGTGCATGCGTCTGAGAGGGAGAGACACAGAGTGAGAGCGCATGCAAGACTTGTCCATAAAGGAAAATGAAAATAGCCTTAAATACACTCAAACACCACTTGAACAATGGCCAGCAACCCCTCCTGTTGCCTAAACTTCTCCTTTCTACTTAGCTTGCATTTTTGGAGACTGCTCCCTGGCTGCCTTACAGCTCTGAGCTCCTTTGCCTCTCCACCCTTAGAGGACATGATTGCCAGGTGCATCCTTAAGAGACACCCAGTTCAATTTTTTAGCCTGGTTGCTGGCAAAAAAAAGATATGCCCCAAATGAAAGCACAAGGTAATACTTCAGTATTTCTGATTAACCCACTTGCTCAGCTATCCTATGTCTTCGCTTATGTTTTGGTCCTTCAGGGTTCATGTGTGGAGCACTAAGTGTGGTGTAACCCACTGAGAGGACACCACGCGAGCCAGGGCTGGTGGCAGTACCTACCGGCAGCAAGTGACAATCAGTGCTATGCCCATGATAAGCAGAAGTCCCCCTCCTGCAGCCGCGATCACCACAGTGATGAGCTGATACGCTACAGATGGGAAAGAAAAAGATTCACTTAGAAACAGCCATGTGGTTGTAAATACTAATGTAAACATATCCACAGTCCTCATGCAAAGGGATTAACTGTTTATTTCCCATCTTCCCTCCCTCTGTAAGCAATACTGCCTTAAATTTTCAAGTGAAATGAATGGAGTGGGTGATGTCCTGCTGAAGGAAGAACAAGCTCTTGTTTGCCTAGGGAATGGATTTCTTTCACTGACAGAGCAGAATAATTCAAATCATATTTCATGGATTCAACTTGAATATCTTGCTACAAGAGTGCCCACTATATGTTCTATCGTGACAGACTATCCGGAGAAAGGAGATTGCCTATCCTTAGGAGATAATATTAAGTCAACTTTGTCAAAGAAGGTCAAGAAAATAATTTTCAACAGAAATGAAGGGAAAAAAAACCACTGACAAGAGTAGCGTGTACCTACTGCATTTTAGACATAGTTATTTGCAATTACTTGTTTCAAATTTCCCATTTCTGACGCTGCGGAGATTAAAAGAAACAAAACTCAGTACTTACGGTTTCCACAGTTGAATCCACCTAAGCCAAACGGGCAGCTGGTGACAGAAAACAACAGGGAGTTTCAGCGGCTTAGTTGTGCCAACAGGTCGCCACAGCAATATTAAGAAGGACAGCGGGGTAGGAGAAGGGCACAACAGGCACCATACCTCACACAGGTCTCGTTTTCCAGCTTATATCCATCTTCGCAGGCTAAAAACACAGACGAGAGAAGGGCCATGAGCACCGCGCAGTGGTGCCGGGGAGGCATTTCCCATCGCCGCTTCCCACGGCAGCCTCACCCCAAACAACCCTGCGGACCGACAAGCCGGTCTGGGCCGCTGGCACAGCAGGAACGCGATGCACTCTGACGTGATGCAATATCTCCTCTGGTTTAGGCAAAACACCATGCACTTAAATTCACCTCCAGCTGGCTTTGACGGGACCATTTCAGGGCTTCCCGGCAGAGCTAGCGTGGAGCGTGGCACAGGGTGGGGCAGCTGGTAACGTAATTCCCAGCAGAAACTCTTCTTGCCCAAACCTAAACTCGCTGCACGCTCGTACAGCTTCCCACAAAACAGCAGCGTAAAAACCTGCGAGCGTCTCCAGTTTTTGTTTTGAAACCTCATTTGAGCAGTGCTACTTTAGCACTGATGCACGTTATTAATTACTTTTAAATGTTAGGATTGCAACAAAATGTTATGCAAACACAGCTGGGGTAACCCAAAGTGGTGTGGTATGTTTTGCCTCATGTCACCTTTTTTTCTTCTTTCAAATTTGGAGCTAAATCAAATTTTGAAATATCATACTTTACTATAGAATAGAAATTAAATTTACTAGGTCTAAATAACCCAGAAAACTGCTATGTACAAAATGTTGGTGAAAAACTGAAACCATCGCTTCAAAATAAAATAATTTCTGTGCTTATGGACAGGTATCTGATCACCTGAATTATCTGAGAAAAATTATACTACCCTTCTGATGAACAGCAAAGGTGATGATACGTTGGACATACAATTATGAGCTTCAGATTACTGATAAGATCACCGCTTTTCTCAGCGACAGTCCCACCAGAGCTCCTGCAGATCTGCCTTTTGCAGAGGCAGCGAAGGTGGTCGCTCAAACACCTGAGTACGAGTGACACGGATGGAGTCGCTTTGGGCAGAGGGACAAGCCAGGGCCAGCACATGCAGCAGCCCTTGGGGGTCTGCAAGACATCACCCAGGGGTCTGGGAAACCCCTGCAGCACACTCCACAGGGAATAAAACTAGATTGTTGAGTGAAAACAAAAATGCTCATGGAATTTTTTTTCTCCTCAAACCTGATATGCTCAAAAATGGTGAGATAGCAGCTCTCAAGCCCTCTTCTCTCGCTCTCTCACCACAGGAAAATCCCACAGCCAAAAGCTCGGGTGTTCTCTAACCTCAGCAAGTGCAAGGAAATCTGCGGGGAGAGGAGGGGGCTTCCAGCAGACGTTCCAGATAAGCAGCAGCAAAGCCCTCACCTCCTCCTCTGCTGCTCCCAGCACACCAGATGCCTTTTTCCCTCTGGCACAGCCAGTGACTGTATTTTCAGAAACACTTAGCCCAGAAAGGGGAAGAAGGAAGAAAAGAAGGACAAACATGTAACATTGTCCACTAGGACAGGCTGGCAATATCATAGTAAACCAAGAGAGATCGCTAGTATTCTGGCTGGATTCAGAATTTTATGGCTCTTCCAGCATCAATAACAAGTGATATTGATGGCAGCAGGGAGCAATGTGACTGTGACCTCCCCCTCATAATACAGGTCACAGAACTTCCCTGAATTTAATTCCAGTTTCAAATCAAATAGTTGAACTGGAGCTACATTTTAGAGAACCATCCAAGATTGATTTTAATATTTTCAGTGACAGACAATCAACCACAGCCCTGGGTCAGATGCTCATAAAGTTAATTTCCCCAGCCATTAAAAACATTCACCTTCTTTCTGGTCCGAATTATCCCAGTGTCAAATTCCAGCCTTTGGATGTTTACTTGCTAGATTGGAAAAGGTTATATGATCACATTTCTCCTCCTCACCGTCAAATCACTCATTTGCCTTTAATAAAGCCAAGTGCACTGAGATCTTTGAGTCTCCCTGGTTATTGCAGCTTTTCTCTGAATGCTCACAGGTTCTCTTTGATCCTTTTGATTTCTGATTCCCAGAAATAGATGTCGCAAGCCCAGGGATAACAAAACTTCCCTTCTTCTGCCTGCCCATGCCCCCTAAATGCACCCAGGGACCATATTAGCCTTACAAGCCAGAGCTGGGGACCTCTTCTTTACCTGCTAGGCCCCTTAGCAGCTCTGCCCAAGTCTCTGCTTTCCAGGAGATGCAACCCACAGTGTGCCTGGCACTCTGCTCTTGGATGCCCTGCCTTGCTTGTGGTCATATTGAAATACTGTTTGCCTATATACCATGTACTAAGCGTCTCATGTTACTCAGCATGTCATTTTCCCCACGCAGTGTGTGGACATAGACGAGTGATGCAGTCACATCATGAATATTGCAGCTCTAGGCACAGACTTGCCGTAGCAACCGGCACCAGCGATGATGGGAGGGCTGATGTCCACGACAGCGGGTCTTGCACCCCTTTCTCTTCCCTCTGTAGCCCCACTACTCTTCCACTACCTCTTTCACTCCATTTAATCTCCCAGAGCTGGGGATGGGGAGAGTAAGGCTCTTTACGTAGCGCCCCTGCTGCAACTCATCATGATGCTTTTTGCACTGGATTTCTTTTTCTCTCTCCAAGATGGTTTCTTTGAAGTCAAGGAAGAGACAAGAAGTAACTGGACAAGAGTTAAGAGCCTCGGTCAACAAACAGCCAGGGCAAAAGTAGTAAATCCCAAAGGATCCTGACTCATTCATAACACCGAGGTATCAGCAAAATAAGACTGGATGGGTTGCTCCTTTCACTCACTAACAAAAGCAGACCAAAAACATTAAGGAGCAAATGTTCTACCAAAGCAAGCCACAAGATCAGCAATGACAAAACCTGCACTGAAGGGGACGGAGGCATCACCTCGACAGCTCGCTGGAGTTGCCTCCTCTAATGAGTGCAGCAGCCCTGTGTACCCCAGCCCCAGCCTGCCGCTTGTGTGTTGGGAAAGCCTGGAGGAGCTTACAGGCAGATCCTGGAGCCCAGCCTAGTCTCACCCCTCAGCCCTAGCCCAATAATGTATGTAGGGCACATGCACCTTGAGTGGTGTCAAAGCTGGAGCCGTGCCTTGGGCAGGAGCAGCCCTGGGACCCCACTGGCACACAGCTCTCAGGCCTGGAGGTTATAAGGGCAATAAAGAGGAAAAGCAAGGTCCTAAACACGCATCTCTGTCTTACTTAAACGCTCAGTACTTATGTCTTTTCCTCTCCTCACCCTGCCTTTTCCTGCCACTTTGCTTTCTCCTCTGGCATCTTTCCTGCTCCTTTGAACACGCTCCCAGGAGAGCTCGCGCTGTCACACTCACTCGGCAAGCTTTCAAACATGAGCAGGGAACAGAGGAAAGGCTTAAGTGTCAGGGGCCAAGCAAAGCTATCGAGTTGTGCTTTTCTACTCGGGATTCCTTTGCCTTTGCCTTTGCCTTTGCGAAAGAGATTCAGGGGTCTCTTTGGAAACCTGCTTTGCTGCTCCTCGCTTAGCTCCAGAAATGCTCTGTAGTATTAAAAATAGCATGCCCTTGAAAAGCTGGCACATTGGATTTGTGGCCCTGTTTCTAAAACAGCCCTGAAGATACAGGGAAGGTTGAAAACCAGCAACGACCCAGAGATGACGGAACTGCACACCGAGAGGTATCACGGCCAACATGTCAAAACTCCTGTGGCTCAGAGACCCAACCCTTCCTTGGTCCAGGGGATGCTTTTACGAGCATGGCCCAGGGGACACACAGCGCAGGGCAGGACAGAACAATCCCTGGAGGTTGGGGCGGCTGATCCCCTGTGCCCCAGCTGCTCTCCCAGCTGCACCCGCCTTCCCACGGGGGAGACCGGACAGGGCAGCACAATAGCCATTTCCCTCTTTGCAAATGCTGTAACTGGAGTTACCGTGCTACATTTTCATGACCCACAATGAGGGTCGGATGCTCAGGAGACCTCGGTTCCTGTTTAGTCACTAAGAGGGCAGAGATTTTCAAAGAGGCTGGCATATTGTATGCTATATTTAGAAAACAGCCCTAAATACCAAATGAGGACCATAGCTTGGCTTTTGAAAAAGCCTTTAAAAATCCCAACCACCTGGGAACAAAGTGATGCTGAAAATCTGTTATCTTGCCGGAGTGTGGCACCATGCAGCCAGTGCCACCCTCATGCCACTACACTGCAGCCTAAATCCTGCATCAACCCTGTCCCTCAGACACTCTCAGGATGGTCAATAAGATGTTTCCTACCGACAGCAGTGAGCTGAAGGTGGAATTGAGGCCTCACTGTGTGCAGATAGGATTTTTTATATTTTGCACAGCAAACAAGACTTGTAAGTACGGAGTAACCACATGTACAAGTTGTTAGATCTCTTAGCTCTCTGCAACCATCGCATCAGAGTGTCTTACAGCCTTTCAGGTATTTATCTTCACAACACTGCTTGGCAAGAGACATGGACAAGAAAAATGGAGTAACTCGCCCTGGTCCGCACCGTTGATGATGATGCAAGAATTGGGCAAAAGCCTCCCAGGTTTCAGCTCAGCTCCCCACTCACTACATAAGCCCTTCTCTGCCTTTCAAGGGTCAATGGAGATGGTCAGTATTTCCTAACAGAAATCCTTCCCCCAACATACAAGATGAAGGGAGAGAAGGAAAACACAGAGGAGCAAGGTTTCGCCTGGAGCCATGACCATGACCTGGGACCCAGAGATGCCCATCTCCAAGATGTCCATCCCAGAGCCTGCAGCACAGGAGTTATTTCCGAGCATATTTTTCTCACTCTCTAATCGGATTTGGAATCAACAAAGCATCTCCTCCTATTTCAACAGCAACCCAGCAGACGCTGCCAGAAGCAATATATAAAGACCACTGCAATTCTTATTGATATGTCATCAGAAAACTGCATTTCTTAAGAAGCCCTGCAACAACCACTGGAACTAGGGAATGGACACCTTGATCCTACAGAAGTCATTTTGACCACTGGCATGCAGACAAAGACCTTGTTTAAAATGTAGCAAAAACTTATTTCATTATCTGAGGAGTAGCTAAAAAATAATAATATAACCCTTAAGCTTAAAATCTCTATTAGGAACCCAGCTGAAAAATAAATTCATAATCATTTTCAGATACTTATTTTAAAAATATTGATGATGTATTAATATAAGCTTGTAAGTTTAAAGCAATTCTCCTAAGTTCGCTGAGAGTTCAGACAAAATCAAAACAGGCAGAGACGCACGTCATCTCTGCTCTGTGCCACTGAACTGGAGGCCAAAGCAGTCGGGCCCCTTTCTGCTTCTTCTCAATCACTGTGACTCACAGCGTGCTCCAGAAAGAGATAATATTATTCCTAGAGAGAGACTGTATCTTCAGCGTCTGCTGAAAAGTCCCCTAACTAAATAAAAGAAACTGGAGCTGCTAATATTTATTCATAGTATTGAGCTTCTTACATGCACAGAGATACACACACACACTCATTTCCACTGGAACAAAAAGTTTAAGCAAAATTCAGGCAACATATGCCACATAAAGAGCAATACCTCTGCAGGAGTGGTCCATCTTGTTGTATTTGAAGTACCCACTTTTGCATTGGCAGAGCGCGACTCCATCGAAGTCGGTGCATTCAGAAGTTTCCTTGTCGCATTCGGGGTCTTTCTGCTTGCACAAGCTGCCAACTGTTGGGAAGAGGCAGCCAATATCAGCCCAGTACTCTCTGAACCCACCGCTATGCACATTTGCTTTCCCCAGGCATCACATTCAGCTCATGTGCTGCTTTAATCTCTTTTGGTTTTTTTAAAATAATATTTGTTCCATTAGGATACAGTCAACATTACACAATGTCAGCATTTCTTACGTATCTACCATCATTTGTACAGGCAAATAGAGGGGGCAAGTAATAAATGCTTCAGCTTGGAGGCAGAAGGAGAAATGAAAAAGAAAAACTTGGTTTGGCTCAAGCTGAAACACATTTACCCCCTGAGACAGTTCAACAAATCAATTTTTAAGTTTATAGCAAGCAAAACATTTTGCTCAGCCCAAAACAATTTTTTTTCCATTTCAGTATTAAGCACTGCATTTCTTAATTTTTCAGACAAAGAATTTGTCCTTTGATTTACATTACTATGAAGCAGTGTTTTACTTTATAAAGTCAGATTTGTTACAATAAGTATTCAGCAAAACTATGGGTAAATGATGATAATTGTGTCATCGAATTTACATTTTTGACTGGGAGGTCAGACTAAATGGAATGAACAAATGAAAATATTCATGAGAAATAGGATTTTATGGAAAATATGTCACTCATTTGGCATTGACCTTTTATAAACCTCTCCCTGTTAGATGCCTCATCTTTTTTTTTTGATCTGACATCTTTTCATTCAGTACTTACACAAGAACATAACTTGTTCCTTATTCTGCTTATTTCAAGTCAGAAGTAGACTTTACCAGAAGCACTGTATCAGAGGTAATATCAGGCTAGATATAATCTGAGTCGGTCTACCAAAATAATTTAATGCAATCCGTGGTGGAGTGTGGCTTTAAAATATGGCACATTAAAATAAAAGCACATGCTAAATTTCTCATCTTCATGTTTACCTTGCCAAAACGATCCGAGGGGTTTCCCACTACACCCAGGCTAAGCACTGCCGCCCTTCATCCTCAAAGCCAAACCTCGAAGCCTTGAACGCCAAAGTCACAGAGCTCTGCATGCAGAAGTCTCCCTGCAGGAGCCCATCTTTCAAGGGTGCTCACTCCCTGCATCCTGCAGGTACCTCTCACGCCCAAACCTCCTCTATCACCCCCTTGGAAAGGGAGGACCAGGAGGCGCAGGGCACGGGGCCGCCAACACAGATAGGGTCCACCTGGAGAAGGTCCTGCACAACACTGATGTACTTCTCCAGGTCTCTCTGTGCCACAACCATATTCCCCTTCAGCAGGTAGAAGATTGGTACAGAAATCAAAAGCTTTTAATTGTGAACCATTTTTACACCCTGCAACATTGAAATTGGGCAGGCAGGAGAGCGCAGGTCCCCACATAGATTCCAGCAGCTCGAATCAACTTCACCGGGGGGTTTTGTCTTTTGGCTTTCATGCGGTTTCCCCGACCGTGCGGGTGGAATTAAGACTTATGGGGTTTTGATCTGGCCGGGGCCCGGTGTCACATCCCAGAGATGAAAGGCTGCCCTACAATGCCTCTAATCCTGTGCTGTGTGATGTTTTCACAGAGAGGCAGATTTCTCACACATGTGTTGAAGATAAGGCTTGATATCTGTGTCGCTTTTGTACTGCGAGGCTCTTAAGATGACTGCCATTTAAATAAGATAAAAAAGATTCAGAGGGGTTTTTCCAAACGCCAAAATCTTTCTCCCCCTGTTATAAAAGAAGCCAAATAAAACATCCCTTTCCCCTCTCATCACAGTCCCTCCAGATATTTACCTCTGTGGAGTGGTTTCAGGCTGGAGATGAATTGGCAGGCTTCGGTGGGGGATTTGCAAGCTCGAATGTAGCTTTTCACGCTGCTGACAATGTCGTAGAAAGTCACGTTGGATGCTAAAGAGAACGTGGATTGCACTGAAACATGCACAAAATTTGCCTCCCTAACAGAAAACAAAACAAAACAGCCCTGAGTACCACGGGTCAGTCTGATGTCATCGTCAGCACCTTATACATAGGACTCTTATTAAAGCAAGCGATGCTTATCACAGACACAATATTACATACATACTGAAACAGCCACGCATTGTAACAGACCTTAAAAACAAGACAAACTTACACAGAGAGGTAAATTTGGGGCTGGAAGGGGTGCTGGTAGCTCACGTTGAAACCAGCCATAAATCCCTCCTTTTGCCAGCTCACAAGCCCGTCCCCAGGCCGCTCAGGCCCCGAGAAGGGTACCAGGAGAGCTGGGCAAGGTGGTCAGGCATTCCCCACGCCCTGCGCTGCCGCTGGGCCAGATTGAAGCAAATCCAACACTGACTCAAAATGGAGAACGTGGATCTGAAGTTGAACATCCCAAACAATCGAGTTTCTCATTCTTCCCCTGGTAGCCTTAGCCTTACCTGGTCGCCTTAACGGTGGAGTGGTGGTACCCTGGCAAGCCCGACAGTGATGCATTGAGCTGCAAGGAAGGAGAAAGCAGCTGTTAGTGTCCTGGGAGATGATGGAGGGAGGCAGCCCAGCGGGACGCAGCACAGGACAGCCCTCCTGGGTCACCAACACCATCCCCTGCATTCGCCAGAGCTGCCTGCTGAGCCTGAGGGGGTTCTGAGCATCCCAGCAGTTCATCTGCTCAATAAGAAAGATGCGCCATCCCGTTGCTAGCAAGGGACGGCCAAAGTCACCATCACGCAGCCTTGGACAGGAACGACGACCTGGGGATTTTGACGCGAGCATCTGCCTGGAGCCCCACTGTGCAATGACTGCAAAGGCCAAGGATGAGCCAGAAGCCAGTGGGGACAGAGCCCCGTGCGAGGCCGAGCTCAAAGCGGCACCCTTGGAGACTGCACATCTTCCAAGGAGCTTCCCTCCCCCTGGATCCGCGCAGTTGTTTATGTTCACTCCTCAGCACAAGCCGTGCAGGCAGCATCAAGGCGACTCACCGCAGCTCCCCCCTCCTTTGGCAGCATCTCCAAATCACCTACTCCAAAAAGAGCTGGGATGAACAGCAGCCAGCCCAGGAAATGCTAACAGGACAAACTCATGCATGCAATGATCTCGCTAAAAAGTGCATAGAGATGTACCTATCCCCAGCCCAGGGGTCTTTTTGGAGCAACGCATGGCACAGCATATAGGGAAGCCACCAGATCAGCCAGAGCTTGCTCTCAACTGACCGAGGGCCACACGGTCGCGATAGCATGGCTGGGAAACTCCACCAAAAGGAAAGTATGTTTGGGTGGGTGCTGCTGCTGTGCTTCATCCCGTAGGGTTTGGCTAAGAGCAAGGTGGCATCACCTGCAGTCCAACCCACCCCAGCACCTGTGAGATGTACTGATGAACGGTGAAGCCCAGAGTTACTGTTTTAATGTTTGACCTTGGAGGAGCACTAATGCCCTTTTGAGGTCTGGAAAAGGTGATGCAGCCACAAGACACTGGGAAAAGATGGAGGCTATAGAAGCGTGAACCCAGACACACCACTTCATGAAAAAGGCTTCAGGATTTTCTGGGCAGATGTGCTGTCTTAAGCCCCATAGGAGCCAGATCACTCTGCTGCTGTCTTGACAGCCAGGGCAGGGCAGGGGAGAGAAGCGTGCTGAGATTTAAAAGTGTACATGTCACCAGTCCTACTTACACCAGACCAGGATGGTTCAACGACTAAAAAAGCTAAATCCATGCTACAGAGTCTTGTGGCTTCCCGTGACAACCGTAAGAGAAGCGAAGGGGACCTGTCCCATCAGCATTGCCAAAGTCCTGGCAAGGACACTCACCATTGACAGGATTTCACCCTCGACGTGGACGAGCTCTGCATACTTCCCATGGGTAATATTAAGTTTCAGGGGGACCTGGCCGATAAATATTCTTACTAAAAAGGAGAATAAGACAAGTTAGTCGGAACATATGTCTCTGTGTCATGTGTAGCTGTGGTTTCATCTGCCTTACGTGAGAGACTGTCTGCATGGAAAACTCCTTCATGCAGCGAACAGAAAACTCACATCTGAGAGTCACTGCCCCAATAAAGCAAAGTCTCAGCCTTCAGATTTTTCCCAAGGGTTGCTGCGATGTTCCTACAGCCCCAGTCAAATTCCAGAGCTCAACGCTGCTGAACAGCCAGCATTTCACCGCAGTGTTCCTACATTGCATATAGAAACACAGACTAATTTAAAAGGACCCCCGAACACAGAGAGAGCTGGGTAAACTTAGTTACAAGACAGTTCCAGGTACCAAAGCTATTTATAATAATTTGGGGTAAACGTGTCAAATCTCTTACCCCTCCCTGCAATGGAAAGAAAGCAAATCAGCAAGTCAAAATAAAGCACTGTAGAAAGGACATTTTCATTTTTCAAATTGTTGGACAGAATGAGCAATGACATTTGAAAAGAGGTCCAAAAGATGCATTTTTCCATGCTTAGATTCATATTTGATTCATGGCAGCAGAATGCAATAATCCGAGTTGTCCAGACTCGAAGAGATAATATCCCTAAATCTTGTATTAAGTGTCATGAGATACTCAGTGGAAATGAGAACTCAGAGCTCCAGTTTTATGTTCTGCCAGAAAAACAAATACAGTTGCAGATAACATTATAAAGCCTCCAATTCTTTCCCATTTTTTCCCATCCACAGAGCCTATCTTCACCACAAATTTTATACCAGACAGTTCTAACGTAACAACTCTGGGTAAAAATTAGATGAGAATCACCTTCACAGTATTTATATAAGCTGCCCGTATCCCAGTTCAAGGCATAATCAAAACAACTCTCTAAATTAGAAGCTGACACATTCCAACTTGAAGAAATGTTTCAAAACACCCTTCAGGGACACCTCACCCATGTTTCCTTAGCAAAATTTCCATGCTTCTAATCCTCACTGATTAAGGGTCAGAAGAAACTCTAGCAAAACAAATTCCCCTTTACAATGGGACATTGTAAGTCCTCGAGATTGAGAGTCCTCTAATAGAAAGGAAGGGGTCAGAACCTGAGTTCCAACTAATAACTGTGCTGCATGAAAAATGCTAAAGGTACGAAACAAGACCTTGATCTTACAAAGACTTTCACGGCTGCTTAATTTTCTGCACATGGCTGATCCCGCTGAAGCCAGGTTACACAATAGCCCCACTCACTTCTCCCAAGTCAAGCACCGTCGCCTGGGTTTGCAGGGCTGGGAGCTACGATAAGCTGCTGAATGCTTTTTGGGAGTTGTAAAACACATTAGGAACAGAAGGGGCACATCTGTCCTTACTAACAAGCCTGAGCCCCCCTCTCCGTGGCTGTGTTTTTAAGAAACCCTCAGCTATCACTGTGCCTGCTCCCCACGGCAGCCCAACACGACAGGCATTAGACGCTGCACTTGTATAAACAGTAAAAGGCTCTTGTTAAAAGTGGTGGTTGGGAGGAACAGTAAGCTCCCAAAGTAGTCTGAGCCTAGGTTAATTTATTTTAGAAGGTTACAGATAATTATTTCCATCTTTTTCTCCCCTGGTTTTTCACTTTTGTTTTCTTACCTAAATTGCACTTTCCTTTTTCCAGCTCATATCCAAGAGGACACTGACAGATATAGGAGCCACGGGTGTTGTTGCAGGTGGCCAGCGCAGGACAAGGGTTGGAAAGACATTTATCCACATCTACAAAAGCAGAAAAAAACCCAGGCTGGAGTTACAGAATCACAAAAATCATCAACCGTTGGGCTAAAAAAGATCAGCTTGGCTCCTCTTCTGTGACCCCCTGAGCATTATCAGATGCTTCATTGCATCATTTGCACTTACTATTTAGCCTGTTCTTAATTATTCCGTTGGAGCTGAAAGAATAAATACAAACCACTTTCTTGTGAGTATTCATTCAAAAGCCCTCGGGATCCAGTGTTGATCCATGTTAATGTGAACACCCAGCTTGTCTGCAGCACTGCTTATCTGCAGATCTCAGGGTGCTTTTCAAAGACAAACAACCCTACAGTCATGGATGGAGAGACCGAAGCAGGGACCTCGACAGACAGAGCTAGACACGGGAGCACAGGCTCCTTCACCAAACTCCTGCCCTTTTCATCCAAGCCCTGTTTCCGTGATCCAAAGCTAGTGCTTGAACAGTGATGCGGTCTGTAGGTTACCCAGTGATGGTGGAGGCACACCTGGCTGCCCTCACCTCCTTTACCGGGGTTGCAGCCTCCTCCGTGCCGGGCTGGGGATGGTCACAGCAGCGATACCTGTCTGTGCCAGCGCTCATAATGCACTTCCCGCTGGGTGAGCAAGGGCTTAGGAAGCAGACACCGACTGTGAAATATGGAGTATCAGGGGATTAATGACGGTAGGCTCAGATGCTTCGTAGGTTAGCCAACTCCAACTGCAAATTCTGGAGAAGATAGCCAATACTTCCCTTTGAAAAAAAAACATGTCCTGGTAAAAATGTTCCTCTTGCTGTGTGTATGACTCACACAAGCACATATGCATGTCACACATGTGTGCGAGGGCAGACCACAGGCAGGGCTGTGGACTTGTCGGCGACAAAGTGCTACAAGACAAGCAATACAGCTTACACACCACTCGTACCTACTTTGCGGCTGCTGCCAAGCACTGCAGCAGAGGCAGGAAGGATGGGCTTTGTGGTTAAAGCAAAAAGCACAAGAGCCAAAGCCGTGCGTGTATTTCTGACAGTGCCGCGATCCCCTCTGGCATCACGCAGGCCCTGCAGACCAGACAGTCCTGAGCTGACCTCTGCGTCAGGACACACACCATTTGACGCAATGTCCGTGTCTCGACTAGCCTGGCATAGCTACCTCAGCATCAGCGAGAAGGAGATTTTGCTGATCTAAGCAGCCAGAAATGAGTGGGCATATTTTAAAACATTGGCTTTCACTTTGCCATCCTTCAGTGTACGGTGGGGACAAGGGCAGCTTCTTCTCTCACGGCATTGAGTGGCCACGTACAAAGCACCATGTCCAAGGCAGCAAAAGGATCTTTTGCCTTCTGGTAAATGGCAAAACTTGGTATTTAAAGGAAAGAGTAAATTGGCAAAAGTGTGAATCAGTTGGTAAAAGGGATATGTTACCTTAATTTTTCAATTAAAAAAAAATCCAATCCCGTACAGTGAATTTTTTTGCATGAAGCCATAGCTATAATTAAAACTAATCAGCCTGAGGAATAACCTTTAAATACTTAATTACTGGATGAAATATATACTATTTCCAGTATTTCACCAAGATTAAATGCAATTAGCACACACAATATCCCACAGTGGCACGAGGGCCAGGCTCCCGAACTTTAAACACACAGTCGGTTTCCATTCATATAAAACTTTGGTCAATTTATTTATGTGAGAAGATATGGAGCCTGGCAGCGGTAATAAATGATTGTGACAACACACTCAGGAAAGCTACGGCACATAGCCTACCAGGAAAAGCAACAGGCCCTTGAGTAGGAGATTATTTAGTGGGGTGGGGAGAAAACGACCATAGGTCATTATAACAGAAGTTCCAACACAAATACCAAGTGCTGGCCAACGGCCTTTTCTCATGAATAAGATAGTTATTGATCAATATTGATTGATATTGTCGACCGTTCAACAAATATAAAATTTATCCTATGTTTACCTAGAAGGCCAGTCAACTTTGTTTTCTTAAAATTCTCAAATTTCAGCTTAACATTTCTATCAGAAATGTTCACCAAAATGCTCACCCTCTTCCAGCAGTTCAGCTTGATTGCTAAACCCTTAGCATAAAAATACCAACATGGAGACCGAGTTCTTATCCTCAAACGCTGCTGACCACAGACTTGTCATACATACGTACATAACCCTTCAAAGACCCTTACAGTGGCACCCAGGTGTTCCTAGCCCCCTTGTCCCCAGCCCCACCACTGATGAGCACCATTAGACATGTTACCTGTTGCCGGAGACGACATCCTCAGCCTGGCTGTGCTACTCGACAGAGGAACAGTGGTTGATTTGGTAGCAGGCAAAGTAGTTGCCATGCTTACAGTGGTCTTGCTGGTTGGAGGGGCTTCAGAAGGACTCGTAACAGGGATGTTCTCCTCGGTGACTTTACCAGGCCTTGCAGTGGTGGGATCCACAGCTTCTGTGCTTTCACCAGTGGTATACACGTGCTTAGTGGCAGCTGGCGTTTGAGCCCTGTGGGCTTTCACAGTGCTAGCACCACCTGGGGTTGGCTGGCGACTGGCCAGTGTTGTCAGCACAGGAGGATTCGCCGTGGTCAGTGCTACCACAGGGACGGTGACACTGCGGTTTGTTGCGCTTGGTGAGGGACTAAGGGGACCACCCGTTGGCCCAGCCCGCGGGACATCGCTGGCTGTGGTGAGCAGCGGCGTTGCCTTCCCAAAGCTGCCCCCCTGAGCAGTGGCAGCTCTCGGCAAGGCGGTCTCCGTTACCGTTGCGGGAACGGACACGGACATGATGTGTCCACCAAGCTGCTCTGTGGGTGCTGTAGGGAGAGGAGACCCAGTGGAGGTGAAGGCGGTGCTGTTTTGGGGCTGGTGCGTGACATTGTGCTTGTTGGAACCTCTGGGAGAGCTCCCAGCCACGGCGGCTGTGGAGGGCACCCGCCTGACCACAGTCGTAGCTACAGAGGTGCTTGCTTGATCACTGTCGTTGGACTGCGAGACAGAGGATGGTGACGAAAACAGAGGCAGTAAAGATGCTAGTGAATAAGATGGGGAAAGCAATGAGGAAGTGGGCAAGGAGGACGACAAAGCCTGCAGAGGGGGGGAAGATGCCATCACAGAGGATGAGAGTGGCTCAGATGATTCCGATGATGTAAACAGATAAGTTGGTGGTGGTGTTGATGACAGCGAGTGATGCAGTGATGACGGTGAGGAAGAGGCTGGAAATGCTGATGAAGATAGAGATGGTCTACCAGTGGTCAACAACTCAGAGTCAGTGTTGAAAAGAGTTGTATTTTGTACGCTGCCTGCAGAAGCAGAAGTCAACGGTTTGGAAGAGTGTACCAGCAACGGCTCTGTAGATGGTTCAACAAAACTGCCATCGCTGGATACGTTGCTCCTCCTGTCCTGCGCCACAGAAGATTTTGATGAATCAGAAGGGCTGGAAATTTCAGCAAAAAAGGTGGAGCTTTCTGAGGAGTCAGCAGAGGTGCTGCTATTCGAGATAGACAGAAGGGTCCTTTCTCCTCCTCTGGTATATGTGGTTGAAATGTATGTGCCGTCCGTATGAGAAACCGAGGTCCTTTTCTCAGCATCAATGCTACTGACTGGCTGATGGCTACTTGAAAAGCCTGGAGTAAAAGGACAAAATATATTAGAAAGACAGAGTAATATGAAAGTATTTTGATGTCACATTAAAATCACTTGCTAAATACATAAAATGTTCTTGTCAGTGAACTGGTCCATGCTCTTCTAAAAATTTAGAGCACCATCCAAGCATGGATATTGAATTAGGAGACTTCTGCACTCCTTAACTGATTCTAAAATGATGAACTCAGACAGACAAAAGGCTCCCGTGAAACTCGTAGTTTTCTAAAACACTGTTCTTCCAGTATTGCTTTTCTAATGTGACTAGGCACTTATCGTTCCATGATATTTTGTGGCAAGCTAAGCAGGAAAAACCATCTGTTCCCTTTATCACTCAGAATTTATGAAATTCATATCCTCTCCCTCTCATCCTCCACTCCCAACTAAAGAATATCCATCTTCTTCAGTCGATTTGTTTTTAGACACAGTGAACTTCATGCCTCTGCAGGATGAAATTATTACATTATGTTAATTTGCAGCTTATCATGAACTCATTGATTGAAAACTTTGCAGTCAGGAAATCCTAAATGAGTAGCACATCAGTCTGCAAAAAAATCAGATTATTTAGCATAAAAGGTGCAGTCAATCTTCTAATACGAATTTCAGGACGTACAGCTACGTTCATCAATCTCTAAAAATAAAAAATAGGGTATTGATAATTTGGTTTAATTCTAGAATTGACTTAGGTCATCGTGAAACATTTCTGAAAGCATCACCCAAAAGAACCCGGTTAGGATGCAAAAAAATAATGCGGCCATCAAAACAGAAGAGTTTCCCTGCTCAGGTTCACGGCTTCACTTCTGGAATGATTCCCCAGCTGGGTGGGGTCTGGCTTTGAGTCCTTTGACGAAAACAGCCCCCTGAGTGAACCCGCAGGTGGCATCACGTGTATTAATGAATGAGAACTTTGTATACAACATAGATAAACGCAGGACAATGTGAACTTCCCCCTCCCAAAATGTACACCGGGAGACACTAACTTGTGAGATCGTTTTGGAAAGAAGAGTAAGTAGGTATCTTGGAAGAACGTGTGAAGAGCGTCTCCGTCGCAAAGCCCGCGAAGCCCCCACTGCTGGTGGAGGTGTTGGCTGTCCGGCTCTGCTCCGCTGACGCAGGCTGAGCCGGCCCCGGGGAGCTGGTGGTTTCGGCGTAGGAAGCGGAGCTCTCCGTGCCACCGGCCAGCATGCCATCCGTCACCGAGTGCAGCGTCCTTTCTCCACCGCCAGCAGACGTGGATGAACTGTACGCAGGAGGAGTGATGGAGCTGGACATCCTTTCCCCAGCACTCGAGCTGCTTAGGGAGTGATGGCTGCTGCCCACGGCTGGAATAGGATCAAAAAGCAGGCATCTGATTTTATCATCTCAGAGCAGAGAGCACGTGTGAGTTTTACAATAATTCTGTTCGGAAATGCAGATTAATAAAATTGCACAGGTAAACACAGATTAAATACAGATTAAGTAGGTCTTACACATCTATCACCTTAAATGTGGATTTAACACACAAAGCCTACTCCAAAGAAAAAGGACTGTCCAACTACAGAAGGACAATTGGTATCATTACAGTCATAATGGCATATTTATGTTATTTATAATTATCACCCCAACCCAGGCAGATAATAGATGTGTCCTACAGCAGAAAGCTACACATCTCATACCTGAGACTTTTTTGTTAAGCATCAACAGCTGCAGATATACAACACCAAGGTGCAAATGACCACTGCTTATAAATCCTGCCCATGATACCTGCAACAGCTCTGACACACTTTGGTGGTCATAGCAACCCCGTGGAAGAGGGGAAGGGAGAGGCAGTGGGTTTTTTCCTAATTCAAATGCCATCCCGGAGTTCAGAAAAACTCACTGGAAGGTTCACCAGCGGCTGAGAAGTAGGTGGAGACCCTGGATGAAAGGGTGACCTTGGGGTCTGGGTACCCTGCTTGGCTGGAGGAGACGTGTCCCACTCCAGGCCATGCTGTGGAGGATGGGAAGGGGCCGGTGCGGGGCTCCCCGTCTGTGTCCGGGTGAGACGTGAGGCTTTCCGCTGCTGTGCTCCACGTGCCACGGTTAGCTGCAGCCTGAGATGTCCCCTCCTTCTGGCTGGAGAGTGTGGTCGAGATGTACGTGGTCTCAGTAGGAGCGCCAGAAACTCTTCTTCCTCTCTCTGGAATTGCAAAGAAAAGATATACGTGGATATATATGTAAAAATATATGTTTTGTATATTGATAATACCTTTGAGGTATCTACAGGGACTAAAATCTGAGTATTTCAATCCCCACAGCAGAGGTGGCACTTGGTGATCAACATCACTTATTTGCTAAGTGGGGTTCCCAGGCAATCTGTACTTTTCCCCTTTACACCAGAAAAATAAAACAGATTGGGGTGCATGGCATTTCCGAAGGAGAACAGTGGCAGGGAGGTAGGACCTGGTCTTGAACGTCTTGCAGAAAATTCCCTTCAGCGGATCAGTGGGTTTCAAACCAGCTCTGTTGGGACCGTGGCAGCAGAGCTGAGGCTGAAACACACGATAACTGGGATATAAGGGACGGCGAAAGATCTATCGATCCCTTGCCACATCTTGTGCCAGGCTCCCCCGGTTGGAGGGCTGAGGACAAGGCTCCATAGCAGCCTTCACATGTGGCCCAGAAGAGCTGCCTGGCCACCCAGTTCCCAAGAGGAGAAGCGCTGCCCCAAGTACCATGTGGTGAATAACTCACCAACCATGCAGTGCTCAGATGCCCTTCACTAGAAACCAGGCTTACTAAAAAGGCAAATCTCGTTTAAAGCTAGAAAAAGGAAGGTGAGAGCTCAGGAGGAGGGCGAGGAGGAGGGATGTCCTCCACAGCAAACGGGAAAACCACAAGACCCACCTGAAGCACTTGGTGAAGGCGAAGGCACTGAAATGCTGGGAGAAAACGCAGGCACCGACTTCGTTGGAAGCTCACCGAGTCCCGCCCCACTCTGCGAAACATCGCTCTGCCTCGCAGGCTCTGTTGCCGATGAGGACGGCAGAAGGACCGTGTCCAAGGAGCTGGTGCAGGGCGGAGCGGGAGGGGAGCTCCCAGCCCTGCTGGATGCTGCGTGGGCGTCTGACACAGGCACCGTGCTCCTCTCCCCACCGCTGGTGGCTATCACTGAGCTGGGCGTACTGGTGCGAGGGGTGTCGGGCAGGCGTCCTCCTGTAGCTGAGGTCCCTTCTGCTGTGAAAGGGCAAAGCAAAATGGATTTATACACCCTAAGCTATAAACAGGTGGGCGTGCTCTCTTCCATCACCACCCTTAGGCTGACAGCACAGATACAACGTGGCAGATGATCCAAACATGGAGAAAATGCTAACTGGAGAAGCAAGGCTTTCTTGTGCAAGGAGGGACTGCTCACAGGAGGACACCCTGCAGAGGGCACTAGGAACAAGTCATGGGAGTGCGGTTGGGTTTGCTTCTCCTCCACCCTGCTCCCGGTGCCGCAGCCCAGCTGCGGGCAACATGCACCCGTGGTGAGCGAGATGGGGATACAGCGGCACGGATACTCGAAACAAAGCATGGCAGGCTTGTATGGGATCAGTAAATACCGCATATGCATCCCAGGGCAAGAGTAAGGAATGACTGGAGTTGCCTTCTGTTTGTATAAACACAGCCAACGGGGCAGTCCTGAAATTGTGCTGTCTCAGAAAACACACCAAAACTTGGGGCCAGACTGCTCTTGCAGTAAGGCTGGGTTTTTCTGGTGACTAAATGCAAAAAAACAGCTAATGCATTTTTCTCTGGAAGTTGAAATTTTCCTCCATAATGCCCAGTGACATTCTCCAGCATCTTCTAGCATGGCCTCACTCCTCCGTACAAAGCAGACGTTTGAGGTCTACAGGTAAAAGCCCCACGGGGATGGGCAGAGCTCACCTGGGGAAGCGCTTTCCGAAGAAGATGGTGAGCTGGTGAGCAACAGGTCTGTGGACAACATGGTGGCACCTCTGCCGCCACCACCCTGGGCTCCCAAAGAGCTCTCCTGCTCTGGAGAGCTGATGTTTTCAGTACCAGTGGTGGAAATCTCTGTTGTTTGGGCCAGTCTGGTGCTGGCTGGCAGAGACCTTAATGTCCTCCCTCCACCCTTGGTGGCTGTCGTGGAAACAGAGGTACTAGTGGTAGGGAAATCGGTTCTTCTCTCTGTTGACAGGATGCCGAGTGACACATGGCTGCTTCCAGTAGCTAGGATGTGATAAAGAAACAATTTACATTTTTACACATGTGAAACTACAAATAAACAGATGAGCTTTCTTCTAGTAGCAGCCAGAGGCAGCAAGTACATGCACAAGTAGAAAATATGAGAGGATGTCAATCCAGAGAAAATAGGAAATTTGCAAAGATGTGAATCCTTCCTACAGAAATTTGTCTTCTAAAAACCACGGTTTGATGCCAAGAAAAGTTCTGTTACATAAAACCTGTTGAACTACTAATGCTGTGCACTTGATTTCACCATTATGTGCCTAAGTGCACTCCATGCTGCTAGAACAAATACCCTAACAACCCAGAAAAGCCTGGAAATCAGTTCAGACAAGGCACAACGCTGATCAGTGTGAAGGTCTTAGAGAAGAAGTCTGAAGAAATAGGATCGGGGGATCAGACCCCTTCAGCACTGCAGCGGACCAAACAGCGGCATGAAGGACCTCAGAGAGCACATTCAAAGTTGCCTTAAATTTGTTGAGCTGGTTCAATTTCTGGGAAGCAGCATGGTCCAAGGGGTAGGACAGAGGGCAAGAACTGAAGTCTGGCCCCTGGGACTGCAGGGACACGGTCTAATCCTTGCTTGCTTAGTTCTCTTGCCTATAAAATGGAGATAGCAACTGGAGATAGTAAAAAAAGAATCGTGATTTGAAAGTTAATTATTTTTCTTGGCATAATGAAACTTTCCACACATCTGCCCTTTCTGTAAAAAACCCAAACCACATTTTTTGGTCAAGCAAGAGCTGAAATATTTCAGACACAAAATCACACGCGTCCTTCCAAACAATATATCCTGCATAGCAGAGAAGAGTCAGGCAAGTGTAAGACACAGTAACAGTCCTCTTTTTACTCACAAGAAAAATGGTATTTCACTCCTAACTTGAGCTCACCTGGGGAAGGACCTTCAGAAGGAGAGTGTGGTAGTGAAGGGTCAGCCACCCACTCAGTGAAATCCTTGATTTCTCTGGACCCAGGAGCTCCGTAGGTGTCTCCCACAGAAGACGTGGATGAGGATCGGATCGTGCCCAAGGTCCTGTACATGCCACTGCTGGATGCGGAGGCTTCTGCTGCCCATGGGCTGGTACCTGTGGCAGACCCTGGGGGCCTCCCGCCGCTGCCGGTGGCCGTGGCTGAAATGAAAGTGCTGGTGGGAGAGGAAGCAAGGGGGTTCTTCTCTGTTGTTGAGCTGTTAACTGGTCGGTCGCTGCTTCTGACACCTAAGATACAATAAAACCAGGTTTGATTTATGCATATTGAGCTATACCTTTGAGGGATTGTACAGCATACATTTCTACACTGTTCATTGAGAAACTGAATAGACCAAGCTCTCAGGCTGGAAAAGGTGCTGCTCTGGGAAGAGGTGAGTCCCTTACGTTCAAGCACATGTGGCTTACAAAAAGTAATGAAAATCTCAACTTAAACCCATGTTTTTTAGCTGCAGGCTGTGCACAATACCCAATTTACGCATTTAAGCTGCCTTTGAGCCTGTTTAAATAAGGAGTATACACCTCTAACTTCAAATCTAGAGGATGAGCTAAACCAGGCCTGGTTTACATTTTCTAGTGACAGTCCAGAGAGCCAAGCTGCTGTCTTAGTGCTGGGCTGACGGCACGGCTGTGGGGCCGAGTCCCCCCCAGCACCGGGCACGCAGGGCTAGACGCAGCCTCACCCATAAGATGCTCAGAAACCCCCCGGTGCCCCAGCCTGGCGTTCGACCCAGCCTGATTTACCCCACATTTAGCAGGCGTGCTGCCCCAGGGCTCTCCCAAACCGCAGCACTGGGGATGCCAATATTTCACCAGCTCACCAGGAGCAGGAGCTGCACTCACAGAGCAATGGGCTTAATTGTGAATTGATGGTGAATGGTGGGGCAGAGCTTATTTGGGACCACTCCAAGGGCACAGGGCGAGTCAGCACTGTCGTGGCTGTGGGGACTCCCAAAATGCCGCCGCTCTTACAGACCAGCCTGCGTGGCAGACGCAGCACCAGGCGATGGCTGCAAATCCCCAGCAAACGTGTCTCTGGCAGGGAAAAAGTGCATGCACTTATTTCTAACCGATGGCTGCTTTTCCCAGCATGGGAGTTTCATTAGCAATGAGGACACTGATGTTTTTCACTTTTTCACCCAAAAGCTGAGATCCACTCCCACCCTTCCCACCAGCCCCGCTGCCAGCCCGACGTAGCCAGTAATAAAAATATCCATGTATCCAACGGTGACTGATGGCCATATCTAAAGAAAAACAGCGTGGGGGTGCAAAATCTTGTCCAGCCCCAAAGCAGCCAGCTTTCAGACTAACAAATTTACCTCTGAAAGTACTTTCGGAGGCAGAGAGGGAGCTTGTGAGCAAAGGCTCCCCAGGAGACTCTGGGAGATCGGTGGCTTCCCGTGAGCCATTAGGATGGCGTGTCCCCGTCCCCGAGGAAGAGAGGGTCCCCTGCAAAGAGCTGGTGGGGTCGGTGCTGGTGTCAGAGCCCCTCGTCACCCTGGCTGTGCGGCTGTTTGCGGGGGACCCCGGTGCCCCCGCTGCCACGCGAGGCGCATCAGCGCTGCGGGCATCCGAGTGCAGCGTTGCCTCTTCTGCAGCAGGGATGCTCTTGGGTTCATAACTGCTGCTAAAGGCTAAAAAAAGGAGAAAAGAAATATAAAACTGCATACACTGTGAATGAAAACAGCTGGGTAGGCTTCATCCTGCTATCAGTAGATGTAGACAACGTATGTGTGAATATTCAATACGGAAATATTTAATACTGGGAAATCATTAAGACAGGGAAAAAATAGTCTCTATATAGGAACTCATGAAGTTACTGCTTGCAAAATTCAACTGAAAGTTTTCAAGGAAAATCTATCCTCCTCTTCCAACAAGAATAATATTTATCCATACTTTCATTTCTGTGAAATGTTTTTAAATGTACAGAATGTGCCAAATACAATATTATTCCTCCTTTCTTTAAAATAAAAAGGATGTATTTTGTTTATAAAGAGTCTTTAAATAATGTTCTGAGTTATACAGCTAGCTATCGAAACTCACTCGTGGAAGCGCTTTCCAAAGCAGACGGTGAGCCTGTGAGTAACGGGTCTGTGGCACCTCTGCCACCACCACCCTGGGTTCCCAAAGACATCCCAGGGGACTGGGTCTGGTCTGAAGAGCTGGTGATTTCGGTACCAGAGGTGGAAATCTCTGCTGCATCGGCCAGCCTGGTACTGGCTGGCAGAGACCTTAACGTCCTCTCTCCACCCTTGGTGGCTGTTGTGGAAACAGAGGTGCTGGTGGTGGGGAAATCTGAAACTCTCCTCTCCGTGGCTGAGACGTTGGATGGCTGGTAGCTGCTTCCAATGGCTACGGCACAATAAAAAAACCTGGATTTATACATATGAAATTATAAACAGATGGATCCATTTTCTTCCCAGATGCTTACAGCGCACATGCAGATATTAAGCATAGGAAGTTTTCAATCTGGACAAAGTGCTCTTCTGGAAAGGCATGAATCCCTTCGTCGCAGGAAGACCTTGCACAAAACCCGGGGCTCGCTGCCAGGACAGCACGGCTTCATGAGAGCCACGGCGGCTCGGCCAGCGGGAAACCACATGGGACAAGGACTGCGGGGACTTGCCTTTAAATCCCACCTTTGCTCTAAGACTAGTGGAAATAGGCTCAAGCACTCTCAGTTATTTTTTTGTAGCTTGAACACAGCATCAAACAACGAAGGGGGGGAACCTGATTGCGGCCACATTCCCATATGAGCCTGCAGCTCACTACACATCCCCGGGCTTAATGGGACACAAGGAAAAATGCTTAAGGAAGCACGAAATAGGGTAAAACAACAAATCGTAGACTAACCGAGCTCACCCGTGGCAGTGCTTTCTGAAGCTGGGTGAGAAGGGGCGAGCCGGTGCTCTGTGGAGGCCCCAGGGAAACGTTGCCACACTGGGGCCACCGAGGAGGGTGCCAAGGCCAGGGACTGAGCCGCGGAGCCGGGCGCTGCCCTTCGGATACCGGACTTCGGGTTTTCTGCAGCCCCAGCTGCCGTGACAGAGGGAAGGGATGCATCAGTGTGAGAACCCAACGCTTTCAATAGTTCATGTGGAGTGGGACAAAGTCTCCGTTTCTGAGCGCTCCAAAAATTAGCTGCTTGCAAAGCAAGCGAGGGGAAGCCGCAGAGCCCAGGAATCTCGGGGGTTTTGTCCTGTAAAGGTTGTTGAAGCACAGGCACCTCACCCTGTCTAGCCGAGAGCAAACCCACCCGGCATGGCCGTGAGCATGGGTTACCAACACAGCTCAGGTGGGACACAGAGCTCAGGTGGGGCTGGGACCTTGCCTTTGCTCTGCAGCTGGCACTGAACCAGCCAAGATACTTCACAGCTGCAGATGCCCACCCTGCAGGAAACATGGTGATAAGGTCCAAAGATCCTTTTTTTTTTTTTTAAGTGGAAAATGTTGGGGGTTTTTGGACCAACTGATTTTTTCCATTGCTTTTTCCTTCTTTCAGCAGGGAATGTCAGCTAACCATCCAAATAATAACAGAGCGCATGCAAAACACAGCACCTTCTCTGTTTCAAGAAAGGAAAAGCTATATAAAGGCTTTTTAAAGCTACAAAATAAATCTATGGGCCAGCAAAGCTCACCTCCAAAAGCGCTGTCTGTGGCAGGCGATGCTGTGAGCAAAGGGCTTGTGGAGTCTCCCGTGACATCCCTGGGGTGTAGCATGACGTGATTTGCACCAGTCTGGGTACTGGAAGCTTGGGAGGAGGACTGGGGCTTTCCAGAAGAGCCAGGGAAGGGGGTGCTGGGCAGGGGCTGCAGCATCCCCCCGCCGCTCCCCAAGGGGCTGGGTGAAGTGGCTGCAGTGCCCATGGGAGGGCTGCCAGGTGGCTTCGTGCCCACCCAGCCTCTTGCCAGTTGAGAGGGGCCGCCGGTGCCTGCAAGGCAATGGGGGAAAGCAAATGAGAGCACAGAGATGGGCTGAGCTGCCCACCCAGCATCCTCCGCTGTCACCCTCCGCCTCCCCCTGCAGCCCACGGTCCCCTCGTCTGTACTCTGCCTACAGCAACTTTGTGTTTGGGAGCTGCACCAAGTAATTCATAATTTTCAAGGCCAGGAGAAGCCACATGGATCCTTCTCTCCATCTTCGTGCACGAAGTGAGCCACAAAACTGCCCTGAGCACATGGTGAGGATGTAGGGCTGGATCCGGCACACAAAGCTCTAGCAGTGCAGGGGAGCCAGGCTTAACCGATGCCCAGTTTTTCTGGGGAACAGCATCCACCTTGTTACCAGGCTGAACTAGGATGGCTCACCTGGGCGTTGAGTCTCCGCAGATGAAGGTAGCAGCACCGTCCTCGTTGCGTTGTCAAACCCCACCACATCCTGGGCCCTGCCATACCCGCCCAGCACCCTCTCAGCCAAATCGGTGCTGACGGCTGCCAAAACCAGTGGCGTCTTCTCGGCGGATGGAAGGGTGCTGGGAGAAGCCAAAGCCCTCTTGTCTCTCTGCCGGCTGCCTGCAGCATGGTGATGGCTTCCAGCGGCTGGAAAGCAACACAGAGAGGGTCATGTTCCCCCTGGACAAGTTAATTTGTCTCGGCTGGGGCAGCAGCAGCATCACCCGCAGTGGTATCCAGCCCTACCATATGCATTAGGTAGGGTCACTGCTGCATCCCCCAGGTTTCCTCTATTTAACACAGAGCACACGGCAAGAGGGATTGCTGGGAATAGAGGGTCTCTGGCACAAAAAAAAAAAAAAATCGGCATTTCAAAATTTGTCTTCATTTGTACATGGCAAAAAAACCCCAGTTTTTTTTAAAAAAACATTAAAAATGCAGAAGGCACTAAGGAGGTTACATCAGGACAGCCAGCAGCTGGTAGCCTGGGCATGCCAGCTCCACACTTTAGTCCCTAAGCAGAAAAAACTGAAGAATTAAAAAATTAAAGAAAGCCTCTATGCTCATATCTCAGCAAGACACTTATTTCATCCGGGCATATTAAGATAAAAAATAAAGTGGGGACAGGGCAATCAGCACAGTCTTGTCCTTCTGGTGCAGGAAATAGGTTTTGGTTTAGTGCATGCTTAAAAAAGTACACTGGTTTACTCACGACCACAGTCCCACCAAATGTGAAGATTATGAACAAGCCCAAAGGTAAGCGTTCACTTGCACGATTTCCACGCGAGGACCTCAGCTACAAATCCTGACACAGCTGCTCAGATATTTTTAACTCAGGCACTTATAATCTAGGTTGGGTTTGTGATGGGGTTCAGCTCCTTCTGAGAGGAGGCACGGGGATGCCGGGGGTCTCCGCTCTGTACGCAGCCTTCAAGCTCCGTGGATGGGCAGGACTCTCTGGAGTGCCGCTGGGTGGTGAATAATGACAACAGCAGCTCCCGAGAATCACCTTCACTGTAATGTTAAAAACCCCCCCAGCTTTCCTGGGACTGGATTTCTTCCAAAAATCTGAATTTCTAGCAGCAGGTGGGAATACTTCCTAACCCACCAGCTACGCTCGGTCCATGGGCTGGGTACGGCAAATGGGGACACTTGCATCAATAAAACTCACCGGGAGGATGGCTGTGGGCAGGCAGGTGGGTCACTGTCCCAGCAGACAGGCTGTCCAGGGATCCTGCTCCTGGTGGGGTGACATCCCCACCACCGGTGGGGGGACCAACATGCCTCATGACCCCACTCGCCACTGGGACCGCACCATGCCTGGCAGACAGCGATGCCCGCTCCCTGCTCCCAGCCAGCATCGTCACCAGCTCCACACTGTCCATGAGAGCACCAGAAGTCCTTAACTCCATGTCCGAACTTCTCCTCGCCTGATGGCTGCTTTCGATGACTGAAAGAAAAAACAAGAAAAAAAATTAAAATCCCATCAGCACAGGACGTGCAGGCTTGGCTCATTGGAGTAACACTGAGGCCAAGCTCTGATCTCATTTACACTAGAGAAAATTTTGCATAATCAAAACACAGACATGAAATTTATTTTTGGATTCATACCAGTGGAAATTAGATTGGTCTGTGGGGCCAAATGCCGAAACCCACCTTTGTGCACAAGATTAATGCAATTCAGCACCCCCATGCTTTTTGTCTGTTAGGAGAAATAATCTTTAAAGGAGCAAAAAGAAAGTCTTAAACAAATAACTGATGGAGATACATGCAGTGTGGAGTCCATGGGGGGAGTGTGTAGGTCTCCAGAGCTGATGGCCAGCTAGAGCCCAGCACAGCCCCTGTGCCCCATCCCGAGGGAGTGATGGGAGGGGGCCGGGCCCCACAGCTCTTCCCCTCTCTCCGCTCGGCCAGTGCTCGCTGGATGCCTCATCTCGAATCCCACCACCTCCAGAGACCCGGCATGAAGCTGGCTGAGAACTGCAGGGCAAACAGGAGGCTTGGCACAACCCATCCAGCCACCACAAGGCACCGGGACAGAAGAGATGAATGTATGGTGTGGATTACACTGGCCATCCAGGTGCTGAAGCACCCCAAGGTGATGGACATTTTGGTGTATCTGACATTAATGTCTACGAGAACATGAGAAAAAAGATGGAGAAGTTTGTGCACCTGCAGGTCCATTTTCTGTGAGCAAACACAGCCGGAGCCCCTGCTACAACCTAAAAGTGTTCGGTCTGCTCTCTTGCTCCTGCTGGAAGGCTGCTCCAAGTTCCCACCTCTCCCATCACCCAGAATAATTTTCTTATTTCATTAGAAAATGAATAAACAAACACATTTATGGAATAAATGTTGGTTCCCAAGCCAGCATAACGCTTTAGCTTAGCTAGCTCTTCTCCTCCCTCCACTTGCTCCCCACTGTGCCGATGTATAACAGCAGCAATCTCATCTCCTCTTTGCACAAGTTTCTTCTGCATTTCTACCATCTGCTGTATCTCATGGACCCCAAAATGACTTCTCCCAGGGATGTCAATAGGCATTACATGCTTTACGGGATCTCCAAAAGCACACAGATGGCTGTGTGCAGCTCTAGAATATAAACATGTTCCCAAATCAGGTCTTAAGACATTACTCAGTAGCCAACTTCTTGGCTCAATCATTAACACCGACCGCCGGCAGCAGCAGCAGCAGGACTCGGCGCGGTAGCTGTAGCTTCAGCCTTGGCTCTGTCATCCAGCCTGATACTGCCTGGAGCAGAGCATCTAGTGACAGCTGCCGTAAGCAGTTCCAGTGAGATTTGCCGAGGGAATCGGGGTTTCCAGCCCATGGTACCAGCCAGAGCTGTGCAAGGATTTCCCTGCACGTCGGTCACATGAAAACCAGCAGCAACCATCCCTGCCCTATGTTAGAGCCACGAGGCTTGGCTGGTACTGCAGCCTCAGATGCTCTTCAAAGCCCACAACAAGTCAAAGCGAGTCCAAATCACGGCTGTGTCATCTGAAACAGCGAGATCCCAGTTTTACCCATCTTCCTTATAACCAAAATGCAATCTCTGGGCTGAAATAGCCCAACGTACACTCCACTTGCTGAGTGGGCAGAATGGGAGCCTGGCTAGGGAAACTGCAATGTAGGGTCTGAAGTCTCTCAAGAAATTGAGAAAAATCAGATATTTGGGGAGGGGAACTCTCCCCACTTTGCAGCTCAGAGATCCACGAGGCTATGGGACATGTCCTGCCTGTTGCGCACATGGCATCTCAAAATAGGGCTGCGGGTGATACACGGGCAGCAGCTAAAGGCACCGCTCAGTCTCTGCCCGAAAGGTCTGACGTTGAAGGTTAAGCTTTGCACACCTCTCCCTGGCCTCCAAGCACATTCTGTAAGAAAGCTGTGCCTCAGAGAAACACCCACGGGACACCTACTCCTCCTTGCCTTGCGTGTCTCCTTTGGGGTTGCTGTACCTGCCGCCCCAGAGGTGGCAATTTCAGGAGCGGTCTCCTCTACCCATCTGCAATAGCTTCGGTGGGAACTCAACAAGAAAAAAAGAGACACGTAGGTAGGACAGTCTGCATTTCATCCTGGCAGTCTGAGCACCACGAGGCCGAAGGAGACAAGAGCTGCAGTGGAGCAGAGCCCCTTGGGTGCCTTTACTGGGAGCCCTAGCCGTGGCTGCGCTGCCCACCTCGCCGAGCACACCGAGCAGCCACTGCCGCCTGGAGCCCACTGTCAGCCACCTCCTGTCCCATGTAACAAGCGGCTCCTTGTCCCCATTTGGATGAGGGGATGCAAAGTCACAGGGGACGCTTGCTACGCTCATTTGCAAGCCAATACCCAGCCTGTAATTGTAACCCGCAAGTCCATTTATAGCAGCCCCGATGCTGAAAAAATCTGGGTGTGCTGGAGGGCGGCGCACTGAATTTCTCTCCGTTACGCTCTCGCTAAAAGCTTTCAGCTGTGTAACCCATGCTTACTGTGCCCCAGCAGCCGGCTTTGCTACACAGAAAAAAGGCAAAGCAGCAGATGCTTAAAGAAACCCTTAGGGGATGAGTGTAGACAGGGAAATTTGCTTTCTCAGGTTGCCAAGTCATATGTCAACAAGGGCTCTCGCCAAGCACACTAAAATATATAGCGGGGCACTGCAGCAGGCATTTAATTGCCACTTCTTAAAAATAACCCTGGAAATGCCAGCAAAAACCTTCAGCTACGACCCTTGATTGAATGCAATCTGTTCAAAAGTAAAATACTGCTGTTTGCTTGTCTGGTGGTTGTTTGCCCTGCAAATCCACCTCGGAGTTTTCTCTATCCTCTTTTGGCTCTGCAGAGCAGCTGGGAATAAACCAAAGCAAAACCCTTCCCCTTATCATGGGCGCCAGCAAACCTGGCTTTGAGTGCAGCCACGGAGTGGATGGGATGAATAAGAAGGTATTATTTACACAGGCTTTTTAGAGTCATCTGGCATTTTTAAGTCTGCCCTGCAAGGTACACCAGGTCCTGGTGCAGGGAGAAAATACTCTCGCCAGCATGGGCTCAGCTCCCCAGTTTGGTGGGTGCAGAGCATGAGCTGTGCTGGAAAAGCTAACCCACAGCATGTAGTAAGGAAAGCTGAAAAAATCAGGCTGTTCGACAAAATAGACATGAAATCTCAGCTCATCACACAGCCACCAAGCCTGCCAGAAGTGCAAGACCACCACAATCATCTCCTCTTTGACTTGCCTGCAGAAGTTAGCCTTCAAAGATGACCCTTCGCCGAAGCAGGTGGACCAGATGCAAGCTTCTTCCAAAAAAATACACTCAGGACCATCTGGCCTTCCCTGATGCATTAAAGGCTTAAAGCAGAGGGGCTCTTTAGCTCAGGTGCCCATTTGTCACTAACAGTTTCGTCACATCCTAAGCTGCCAACTACTTTCCGCTGTTTAACTCCACGTGACCGCAGCTGTCAAGAGAAATATTTGACTTCCAGTGCAAAACCCTCCTGCCACCCGCCGGACCAGTGTTTTCCTTCCCAGTTAAAACTAGCAGTGATGCTCACCAGACAGGTCGAGGCTTGGAATTACTTTTTCTTAGCAAGCATAACAAGTCCACGGCTTGCTGGGAGCTGAGTTATAACGCGGCCAGGACAAACAGATCAAGTTCCAGCTGATTTCTCGAGGCTTTGGGTTTGCCCCTGGCAGCCCAGCTGGATGTCTACCTTGTGAGACTCCTGAAAAATCCTTTTTGGACCAGCGATTTTCTGTCTCCATCCCTGGGTGCAGCATGGGCACTGCCCTGGCCAGGAGGTGGCTGCTGCCAGGGCAATGTCATGGTGATGCTCGAGGCTCAACCATGGGACAGCACAACACCAAAAAGGACAATACTGCAAGTTTTCAGCAGCAGTTGTGATCGCTTATAGACATTTTAGGGCAGGGAATGAGGAGGCATGTATCCTGCTAACGCCAGAGGAGCAGGATCCCTGCAGACAGCATTTGGCAGGAGCATCACAGCCAGCCAAGGCACACCACGAGCTATATCCCAGCCCCGCTGCCTTCCTGAAGAAGGAATTTTTCTCCTCAAAGGGCAGAAAAATACTCCCTTGACCTGGGAACGCAAATTTAATCTGTGTTTGCATACAAGGAAAGCCAAAGGCAGTTGCTTGGCTGCCCAGAGCAGGCCTTCACCCCAGAGCAGTCCCTCCTCAGGAGGGTGGCGATTCCCTGGGGACCGATCCCGGTACGGCCGCCCATGCAGCAGCTCTTTTGCCAGGGCTACGGCCACCCCAGGAGCATCCCATGCTGAGCTGAGCACGCGTGAAGCTAAAGCAGGCTCCTCCCGAGGATAGGCAGCTATAATTATAAAGCCCACATCTGTTAACGTTGCATAATCTTAACATCATCCAAGGCTCGCGGAGGGAAAAAAAACGCATCTCGACTTCGAAAACTCCTTGCCAGCTGTAGGAAAAGGTTAGGAGGAAAGGCAGGCTGCGAAGGAGGAGAAGCGGGGAGCAAAGCCGGGGCTGCCGGCCCCGCAGCGGGTGGCACGGGTAGCTGCCGGACCCCGCCGGGGCTGGGGCCGGGGCTGGGACCAGGCTCTGTGCTCTGTTTTGAACGGCTGCTGCGGATGTCGGGATCATGGGTGGAGGCCGGTTAGGAGCCAAGTGAGTTTGTGCGAACAAAAGCTACAGCCCTAAATCTGGACCGTCCAGGGCTCTCTGGGATTTTCAATTTCCTTCCTTGTTCTTGCCCTGAAAGGAGCAGTTCGGGGGGGGGGGGGGGGGGGGGGGGGGCGAAATGGAGCTTAAAAAAAAATTTCATACTTGAAACGGGTCAGTTGAGCGTAAACACGCTGATAATATTGCTCAGGGAAGGTCCCTCGTGTGCACTAAGCACGGGAAGAATGCGAGAGGTTTTTAACCACATGCGGTCAACCCTTTTTTGCTAAT